ACACAATGTTTTCTCTTGATTTTCATATTGCATGCACGTCCTGTGCGGGCCACATGAAAGTGAACAAGAAGTTTTCTTGGATGAAAGAGGAATCTGTAGTTGAACAGCTGATCGATGAACGGGTAAATAGGAAAACTGGATTGGATATAACCAACTGGTACGATATTCTAATGTATTTGCAACGAATGAATCGATACGAATAGAATAGGCTTTTGAAGAATTTTTCGCACGAGACTTGTACAATAAAGAAAAGTGAAATTTTGCTTTGCAATCTCGCATTGAAAGATGGATTATCTGTTCGTAATTATCAATACTCTTCTCATCATCGATTAACATGATTAGAAAAGTAAAAACTGTTCGCCATTGAATTTCTGCACGAAATTGAATTGTTAATGCAATTCGTTGGTTTTCATACTGATGGCAGGTTCGTCCGTAGTAATTCGGCGGACATTAAACAATATCTTTGAAAATTGGAATTGTTTTCATTATGCACCTGAATGGGAACTCCACGATGGCAAGGACGACGAAACCGGCCGACGGACTCAGGTATTAACTCTTCCAAAGATCTCGATCGTCTTCGTTCGAATTGCTCAAAATAAAGTTGAAATGGTTTTATCAGTAATTTCTTTGTCTCATCAAGACCACAAAGACTTGTCATCAGACGATTTTGATATGTCTCCGATTTTGAACAAATGCGCGTCGTACTTATAATAACATCGCCATCAGATTCATTGATTTTCTTACATAATAATTCATCGTCTTCACTTGAACAATCAACATCAAAATCACATAATTGTCCCGTCGAAATACATGTCGTTCCATCGTTACAGAGATATCGCATCGATGCATCATTTGGACAGGTTCGTCGACAATATGTTCGATTATTTGTTCCTCCGAGACATTTCATTTTCGAATTATCAACTTCGGGAATATTCAAGCATTTGATTTTGAAGCTTTGCGGTATAATGCAAATATATTACCAAGGTTTACACACAGCTTTGAGAGGATAATCTTCATCTCATAGCGAACAATCGATTTCATCGGAACCGTTAGCACAATTCTAAAAACCATCAAATTGTGTATAAGAATTATTACATGGTCAAAGATGAGAATCATAACTGGCTTCATCTGTTTCGTAAGTATGATTAGCGATTAAGAGTGGATAGCGATCCTCGAAACCATCACAGAGAGTTTGAAAGCAAATTCGAGATGTTTTCTCGAGTTTTTGCGCGTGAAAGTTCGGAGTCATTTCATATTCTTGTGGAACGTAGTTTGTGCATTCATAATCTTTATCATCAAATAGTAACGGGAAAATACTTTGAATAGTTTCATTCATTGAACAACGATAACGATGACGTGCATTGGGTAGTGAACAACTCGAAACATACTTCTCATCATCACCATATGGACAATCTTGAATTCCATCGAGTAGACGACGCTTAGAAATACATCTTAACGAATTGTGACATGAATATAATTGAGAATAGGAATTACAAATCTTTTGCAGTTGATCGAATAATGGACAAATCGAACGGTATTTTCTTTCAATCGCTCGTTGCAATTGTTCTCAAATGATCGGTTTGTGACGATCAATTACAGATAAATCCTCAAGTTTATGACAAGAAAGTGTTCGTGTCATATTCAGAAACATTTCTCTTGGATATGGAAAACGTGGACAATAGAAATAATCGTGACAAGTATAGTAAGACAGTGCAAAACGAATGATCGGAGGCGAATATGATCGAGTATTTGTATAAACAAAATAAATATGACCAAGAGCGACAGGTGATATCGGGTAGGTAAATATTGGCGGACAATTTTCTCGAATATGATCATAATACATTCATTCGGTTTTCGACATTTGCACGTGTCATGATAAGAATATTCATAAATATTTGTTAAACAAGTAATCGTATCCCAACATATCTCGAAATATGGAACATTTTTCGCTTGGTGGATATAAATGACATTTTCTGCCGTTGATCATGACCATTGTGACAATCATTTTCGTTACATTGTCCATCGCCACAGGTCATATCAAAAGAATTCGGTCGGCAAAGATGATCGTCACATGCCATTGATTGATCGATATAACAACGTTTAAAATCAATCGAAACTTCATCGGAACGATCGAGACAATCGGGATACATTGACCATTATGACAACGATACTCTCGTTCTTGATCACACTCGTTCAAAACAATTCTGTTCATCAATTCCATCATTCAAACAACCGATTTTCCCATATCACAGATGTCTCGCCATGTTAAACACATTGGTGGAGGATGAATATATTGACATTTTAACAGTGTATAACATGTTACTGAGCGAATAACTACATCATATTCATCAAAATCATAATCGTCATCATCAATTGGTAATATTAAAGCGTTTTGAATAAGTTCAAGAAATGAATTGTGTCTTATATCAAAACCAAATTGACATGATGAGCCGAACAAAGGCCATGTGCAATCGTAGAATCGATTAAGAAATATCGTTTGATTTGCTGTGCTTTCATTTCTGAAATACATTTCATATCGTTCAATAAGATCGATTGAAGTTGACCATTGAAACAATTGATCCGATGTGACACTCAATTCTCGCAACTTTATGATTAAAACTTTTCCACGACATTCCATTTTATTACTGCACGGTGAAAATTCTCGTTTGATCGTAAACAATACGTATACACATGATGTTGAAAGAAATACTTCGTATCAGTATTTGTTAATGTATACAAATACAAGCAATACTGATCTCTTCGTTCATTATTTGTATTCATATCGGTATTGAACATATTCAATGGATATGGTGACATACTATTAAGAGTTCGATTGTATATCGACAAAATTAGTAAGAGAATTAGAAAATCAGTCGTCGTCGACATGTTTCTTTTTCAGAATGACACGATCAAATAATCATACCTGTGACGGTTCTTATTAGAAACATGAAGCATGGCGTCTCATTCACATCATACATACATAAAATATTGCTTGAGAAAATATTTATTTCATTCAAGTATATTCGTGTTTTACTAGAAATGAATCAAAATGATGTGATAAATATTTATTGTTCTATGAAAGAGAGCATAGATCACCAATAATTTAAATCTTCTTGTTATCTTTCACGTTTAAATGTCTTGCTGTTCTGCTATTTTACGATAGAAACAAATCAATGCAAGAATGAGCAGAGATGTAGTCGAAGCAAGATCAAAGCAGATAGTGAGATATGAACTGATTGATGTAACGATCCGGATAATAGTTGATAATTTTGAATTTACTATTGAATTAGGTGAAGTATTTGACGAACAATGACGTTTTTCTTTTCGAAACAAAACATAGTGTTAAATGAATGTGAGCGATGTGCACTGAATTTGAAAGAAAACAGATTTAGCATCTTGTTATTCTGCACTTATTTTTTTTATTGCGATTCACAAATGAAGTCAGAATCTCTCAATTGCCGATTTATAATTCAATAAATACTTTTGATATAAATATACAACAAGCAGTTCATGGATAATTTTATTTTGTGGCAAATTTCAATTCGATATTATATTTGCCAAAAGTCGCAGACATTTCTCACTTTTCAAAGCGGAATTATCAGGAAACTATTTACTTGAAAGTATTAGTCATTGATTACAAATAATCATAAATTCACACTTTCCATCTTTGACTACCATTAGCTGCAATTCCATGCGTATAAATCTTTCCTAATTTGCTTTTCTATCTACAAAATTTTGAATATCTTATGTAATATCATACATTAGCGTAGAAGATGTTTTTCATAATTTTCATAAGATAAACGCAAGAGCATATGAAACTTTCAGATCAATCTGTGTAGAATCGAGCTGAGATGCATCAATAAAACATCAGTTTAGTCTTCTGATGACGTTTATTTCATAATGGGAATGAATAGAACTCTTTAATCATATAATTATGCCAGAAGAGTCTAAATCTTTGAATATGATTGTTACAGCCATCGATGACATACATATACGTTCTGTTAGCGTCAACGGCAACTCTTATTGGATGTAAAGAACTGTTTGCATCCGAATCAGACACATCTATAGAAGATCTAGCTACAGTTACATCAAATATGTTGTTTCGATCCCATCGTTGCATTCGGCTGTTGTCCACATTAGCACACATAGATAGATCCAGTTCTGGATGAAACTCACAATAGTTCTGATCCAGTCAACATGTTACTTGTTGATCCAGCACTTCCAGTTCCAGTTATAGTAGTACCAACAGCAGGAAATGAATCAATTATAAATGTTTACTTTTCAAAAGCTATAAGTTCTGCAGAAAACTGTTTAAAACTTTTAAAGAGAACAATTTTGTGTCAGAATCAATAGTATACATAGAAAACGGACCTTTTTTTTTTAAATTAAAAGATATTTTAATCAATTTTGGATTGACCTATGACATATGTATGAATACTTATCAGAATAGATGAAATCAAAGATGTTGAGAGTAATGCGTTCAAAAATAGAATCAATTTTATTTCAAAGATTATTTTTCATATTCGTATGAATATGAATATTAAATTACATTTACATTGAGAAGCGAAATAATTTATATAGAAATAAACTATAGATTATTCCAAAACTTTCTTTGTTTATCAAATAAAATTAATGAAAAATATTTCTAATTGATTAGATAAGTTTTAACTTGAAGTAAGTTTTTATTTTATTTCAAATAAACCACGAATTCTACGGTGTTGAAAAGAAATTAATTTGAAAGAGAAAGATTTTCTTCAGTTTGTTTAATAATATTATCAACCATATTTGTCCATTCATCATGTTGAAGTACAATAACAATTGCACTATTAATCATAAAAATATATCTTAGAATGTTTGAAAAACATTTCACAGCATAAAAATGATCATATTCATAAAGAAGATATTTCCATGCTAATTCAATATAAAGATTTGGAATATTTGATATTGAATTCGAATTTTTCAAATTGTTAAATGAATTCTTATTTGTATTATAAGATATATAATCAAATATTGAAAAAATAAGAATAGAAAATACAAGTTTAACAAGAACAATATCCGAATCAATTAGATGACTTGTATATCTACTTGTTGAATAAACATTTGACCCATAAATTGATTTAACAATTCCAGAAAATGTTTCATCTTTATATAAATCAATATAACGTAATAAAAAAGCTGAACTAAGACCAACAACGTATTTTAATCTTCCATGAAGTAAGACTAATTGATCATTTTTTGAGAATGAAGAAAAATCTTGATTTTTTTCAAATAATAGTTGAGATTCAGACATCATTGATGCAAATAAATTATTGACTGAGTTTAATTTATAACGTGATTTGAATGGTAAAGTATTTTACTGGAGTAAATATTGATCAACGATTCGATATTCACTATATATTCATCATAACAATGTATTATATTTGATAAAAGATTTCATTGATCATTGTTTAATGTTGATTGATCAGATCGTAAAAGATTTAATGTTGGAAACTAAAACAAAATTCTTTTCGTACATGATTTTCTTTTTAAATTATATAAATTACCTTTTCTGATTGATTTCTTTGAATTCTGTTTGATTTTTGTTTTGATAATGAACTACAAAGTAAATTACTTTTCATTCCATTTGAAAAGCATTTTTTTAATCGACAATATGAACAAATGTGACGATTAAAAAGATTTATTTCACAATTTTTATTATATCGACATTTGAGTTGAGTCTAAAATAAATTCAAAAAAATTTAAAAAAAAAAGAATTCATTTACAGATCAAATCAAACTTGTTTTGTTTTAACATTTCGTTTGAAAAATATTCGACATGAAGGACATACTAAAATACCAAGATATGGTCGAATTGCTTTGTCTCCACATATTTTACATTTCATTAAAGGAAAATTTTTTGACTTTAATTTAAAAAAATTTCTAAATAGGAAAATAAAGAAAAAGAATCAATATATACATACTATTTGAAATTTTCTTGACTAATCCAGAATTACAGACATCTAATTACAATTTCTTACGTGTTTTCAAACTTTCGATAAAGATTCTCTATGGAAAGATGAACTCTTCATGGTGAAAAATGAACAATGAGATATTCAGGAACTGTCGAATTTGATTTTTAATATCTTTATGTCTGTTTTCCTATGTAAACTTAAATGATCGGTGTCATAGATCGAAGATAAACAATAGTGTTACAGTATGGACTAAGTCTCGCTAGTTATTTATATATCTGAAGAAAAAAGTGGATAAATGAAATGAATACATTAGAATAAAGATCATATTCAATGTGTTGGAAAGAAAAATAGAAAAGAGAAAAAAGATTTATCTTTCTATAATGAAAGAGACAGACATATAGACTTGTAAATGTGTTCGTTTCTTTTCATAGAACGCAAAGAAATATGTTCTCATTGATCTTTCTTTTATAAATCTTATCAATAAGACTTAGATTTTAATCTTACATATTTATTTTATTTAAATACAGAAATTAAATTATATTCAAATCAATCGAAAAAGAAAATATTATCAATAAGAACATCTTAAATTTGATATAAATGCAAAGTTAATTATACTGTTCTGTTTTATTCGTTGATTCTTTAAGAAGAGAATATAATCAAATCTCTTCTTTCAGCTTTGTTTTTTTGTTTTATTAATATTCATTAACATCTGATAATACTGAATATCTAAAACGATGATCTTATCGTTACACAAAATGATTTTTATTACTTGTATATATTTTGAATATTTCTTCACTTTTATCTTCTGTGAAAAATTCTGGTTGAACAGAACGCTACTCATAGAAATTATGTTAAAAAAATGTGTAAAATCTAATGATTTTGCTGCAAACTTTGAATTAACACTTTCATAATTTCTTATACGCAGTTGTTCAAATATTAGTTTAAGAAGATTTTCGAATTTTGAGGTTTTTCTACATTCTCTTTCATATTTGAGATATTTTTGTATGATCATTATATAAAAGAATGCTTCGTTCAACTTATGAAGAACTATCTCTTAAAGTGTTTCTCGTATTTCAACGAATAATCATATGAAAAGAAATCTTATTTTGAGAAAATATTCTGAAGAAATTCATTTTTATTGCTTAGAAAATTTCATAAAAACGAATTCACTGTACCGTTTCTTCAGGATATTTTGATAATAATCATCATTTTATATAAAGATACAAAAAATATTTCTTCATTTATTATAACGATATTTCGCATAAAATCAATTGATAATTATTAAAGAATTTTGTTAGTAGAAATTTAACTCTTTGAGTTCTGAATTTTTTCACTGAATATAAATTTAGTAAAACATCTTGAGGGTGCATTTAGATGGTATTACGAAATTTGATCAAATTCCTCCGCAAAAGAATCATTTTCTTCTGAATCGCTGATGTCTAATTAGTTCATCAAAAGTACTCAAACTTCGATTTTTGTTAGATTACGTTTCATTGAAATCCGAATTTGAGTCCATCATACTATATAGAGTCAATTGTTTTTATCCTAGAACTTAATTAATCAAAATACAAAATTTCGCGAAATGTGAACTGTTGAGGAGAGTGTCTAAAGTCGATTGAATGTCTCTTGGTATACTTTTTAATGCAGTTTATTCATCTAAATATTTGCTTAACTTAAACATAAATATTATATTCAAGCTAAAAAAAACCTTAAAAATATTCCAAACTTTGTAAAAATATTTCGTTTTGTTTTTTGTTCGATGAAACTCAATGGATCGAGTTCTCAAGATGTAGAAAATGAGAATATTTTTTTTTGTATAGTATTAGTTCTTGTGCTACTTCTGTCAAGATCATAGAAACATTTTTCGGTAAAACTGGTCTTCAGACATCATTTTCAAATTGAAACAACAAATACAAGAGATATTCGAGCACATTCATATTTTGCACACGAAAAGGAAGTTATTTTACTTCCTCATACCTATCTACATGTGTTCAGTAAATCAAGCGATCACATTATTTTTCAACTGAAAGAAGAAAAATCTACTCCTCAAGATTTCTTCGTTCGTCCATTGGATGAAAGTCCTGAAAATGATACTATTGTTCACTTTACAAAAATAAATCAAGTTCACCAAATCAGAAATCAAACAATAAAATGCAAAAACTTCATCTAAAAACTAAAATGTGTATATACTGTTTCTAAAAAAGATCCGAAGAGAACTGTCTATCGCAATACGTATTTTACCGAGATTTTCCTTCAACAAAAAGTTATTATTTGAAATAATGAGGTTTTGATGAATAAAATACTTGTCAGTAACCCTTTTTCTACTAGAATTTTCCATTGTAATTATTTCTCTCGCCAAAATTCAACTTTGTAAAGTGCAAATCAGTATTTTCTCGAAAGAATTCTTTCACACGAGTTTCGTGTCGTGATATTTTTATTTACAATTGAATTCTTACACACAATAATATGTCATTTTTCACTGTGTGAACTTGAATTTCCATTGACATCGCTCCATTCTCATCCAATTGACCATATTCATTTGTTGATTGATTTTTATACAAAGCGTCAATCCATTGTTTAACAATCATCGGCGAATTGACCATTGTATTCATTTCCTACGAATTAACAAGATAAATAGAGAAGCAAAAAAACGGGACTTCCTACCTGAGAATGAAATCAAGTTTGTGTATCCATATTTCCACTGCCGAAGATCGCTACTTCATCATCGATTGAGACATGAATTTAACGTGACAATTTCGTTTCTTTTGTGCAAAATGCAAAGGATGTGTTTGATCTAAATATACAACCGTGAAAAACAGTTCCAAAGTAGTCGTATTCACCTTTCACTGTGTACCAAAATATTTGTAAATTCTTCTCCGTTCTTCTCGTTCTTCAATTTTTTCTACATTTTCTTGACCACATGTTCGTTTGTTCCACCTTGAAATGTTCCGAATCCTTCTTTTAAATAATTAAAACCTAAACCAGCCATACAGTGTCACTTGAACACCTCGCCGACAAGCAGACATGACACCATTGATCACCAAAGAAGCATTGAAATTTGGTGATTGAATAAATATCGATTTTTGTGCACAGCGAAATGTATAAATCCAGGCGAGATTTTGTGGATTGACTTTATTGACATGACCTGGAATACCGTTTGGTGAACAATTGACAAATGCGATCGGAACGGGTTGGTGCAGAGAATGGAAAATAAAAGATGTGAAATTCATGTTCTGTCTTTCAAGTTGTAATGAAGATAAATTCGCAGCTGAATGTACTGATTGTGCGCACTTTCCACATTCATTCAGATGAGTTGTTAGAGGCGATTTGGAGAGACTTTTTCGATTTCTAGTTGGTGTTGAGAATTTGTTGCGATCATGACGGAAGCGAAGTCGTGTACGAGCAACTGCTTTCTGCAAAGGATCTTTGGTAGAAACAATCGATGAACTATCAATTCCGAAGCGAAATTCTTGATTAGCTCGTGTTTCATCGTGTAAACAAACAAGATCAGGTTCGAACTTAGAAGTGCAATCTTCCGATCTACAACTAAAAACTTCGAATGAAATGCATCCATAATCAATCGGTGATAACAATTAACTTCCAGTTTAACAAAAGGTAATTCTTCTGCTGATGGAATATTACAATTTGGCCATTTGTCTGATGGTAATATCGCATGGTAATGTGTAATATTCTCCTTCGTAAACTGATCGATTAAAAGTTTCACAATAACTTTACGTTTTTTTCTCAGCAGCACGTTTACTTAAATCTCGTAGAGATTTACACATCATATCTGCAATTTCACCCTTTTCCCACCAACATGTCGCGAAAAGAACTTCTTTTTCTGCATGAGTAATTGCATGGTAGTAATGGAGCATGATGTCTGCGATCGTGGTGATAATTGTTAGAGGAATAATACCGGACGTACCAACTAATGCAGGTGAAACAGAACCAGCCATTGGATTATGTTCCAATGTACAAATAACACCATAGAATAGCTAAACGGAAATATTAATTTTACGGAAGAATCAATGAAAATCATACTTTGACAAAAAAGATCACTTGGCCGCTGAGGAAATCGTCCATATTTCGCTGCGAGATTCATTTCTTCGTTTGTCACTTCATGTTCAAATAATTCCTGTTGATCTTTCGATTTGAAATGATGTTTGGGTTTGCCTAACAGAATATCCACTGCTTGTTGTGGAGCTCTGCTTATCAGAGAATTTGATACATAGAGAGATGTAACTGTATTGTTCGTTTTCTCCAAAATCAATTTTGGATATTCGAAATTATTTTTCAAAGCATATTCCAGTGTTTCAACTGTCAACGAAGCATCCATTGTATCCATAGAATGTAACATTGCAATAAGATCGACAAGATGCTTATATACACAAACAAAAGGATGTGTGAGAAACGTAATCACTATGCGTGACGTCAGTAGAACGGGAAATATATACAATGGGCGTGGTTCATTGTTAGTCATATGCTCAAAAACATGTTTGCATCGTAGATACACAATTTACTATATTTATTTGTACCACAAACAAGTTGATTTATGTCTCATGGCTTTTGTCGACAGTTATTGCGAAGAACGAAAACATCAAACACGTGGACGAATAGACTAAAAGCATTTATTTAAGATATAGAACGAGACGAGAAAGAACATGACTGTGAATTTAGTAACCGGTAAATGTTTATGTGGACAAATAAGTGTTTCAGTTCCCGAAACGATCTTAAAACAAAGTAAAAACGTTGGTCTATGTTATTGCAAAAATTGTCGACAGACTGGAGGATGTTTAGCTTCGTACAATCTCTATTTACCCGAGAAAGATGCGATAATCCAAGGTGAACCAAAGATTTATTTAGATTCGAATACAACGAATGGTCAAATAATTCAACGCGCATTTTGTGAAAATTGTGGTTCACCAATTTACGGCAGAAATCCAACTTCCAGTCGTTTAATTGCGGTCAAGTTGGGAATTTTCGATGAATTAACTAAGCCTAGTATAGCTTTGTTTTGCAAAGATCGACCAGAATGGAATAGACTTATTGATGGAATACAAGACTATGATATTATGCCATCCTAGTTGAAAACGCATTCGAAAATGAACTCTCGATTTCTCGACTACATCAAATAAGCTTTTTTATTTGATCTTCATTAGAATAAACATCAAAATCTGTCAATCTTTTCAATTATTTTCTCTTTTGATAGTTGATGATGTACGTTTTTCAAGAATGAGATGAGGGTGAGAGTGGAATGAAAATCAACTGTAAAAATTCCTGTTGATAGTATTTCATGTTATGGCTTTGCAAGGAGCAAACATGTCTAACTCTCTCCTTCTTCCTTTTTCAACCGAACAATCGATCACCAAAAGCCACGATGATATCAAATACGTTTTTATTATCGAATTTATGTATGCTCATCAATATTAAACATAACAAGGAAAGTCGATTTAGTCCTGATTCAAACAAATTTGAAAGCCAAATCAAATGACTTACAAGTTGGCTAGACTGAATCCAAAAGACATAATGTAAATTATTTCTAATAAATTCTATAAACGACAATTCAAAAAGTCAACATCTTTCTATCAGATTATTCTACTTCTACTACGAATACTTTCGAAAACAAATCTTGACAACGATGGATTAATTGGAACAACCTACTTTCAGTTTTCGATTTAACGAATCTAATCAAGTCAATTGAATTGTTCCATTAATTTATCATAATTAGTGCTGAAGAAAATCTTTATGTTCGTGATAGTGATAAATCATCGACTTCAACTTCGAAAACAAGCAAACGGAGAAAAGTTTTGAAATTTGATGGAGCATAAGTAAATAAAGGGAAAAAGATTTTTTAAATAAGTTTGAAGGTGAAAATAGTTATAAAATTGTGTCACGGTAGACGAATAAAAACCGTTCAAAATCATTTTAATCCCAATGAAAAAACCTTTTATTTGCAAAAATAACGATGTGAAACATCACAATCTTAGTAAATGCAGAGAGAGTGTAATTCGGTTAAAGATCAACATGAATTTATGGTTATTTGTCGGTGTGGTCTTTGAATCAGTTTATAAAACATAAATATTTGATGCTTAGTCGTTAACGATGACAAGTACAAGAGTATCCATGTTTTTAATTCTCTCGTTCAGTTTTCAATCAACTTTGACATTTTCAATGAAGGGAAATCATCGAAATGTTTGTTTTGAAAATTTGCGCAACTCGTGTATACCTAAATCCTTATAAGCAATTGTAAAATTCGAAAGAATCATCGATAGTTATAGAATTACAGCTGCTAGATCTCTTTTTCATGCCGTTACCTATTCTTTTTCTCCGCATGATTTTTTTCCAAGTTGCAGTATTCGACGACTTTTTTCTTTCCTTATGATATAAAAGACATGAAATATTTGATGAATGAATAATAAAAGAAAAGATAAGTTTTGTGTCTTGCGTTGTCGTTTTGACATTCGTGAAATTCAAAACAAATGAAAAGTATGGAAAGAAAATCAAAACTTAACTCTAAGCTTTTCTTCAGCAAATTATTTCTACCAAACTGCTGGTTAATTTGAAATGAAATTTGATGTCAAACTTTATTTTAGAATCAACTTATTCACTTTTCAGATTGAATTTCTTTCCAGATGGCGACTTCAACGAACAGGATCTTATCTATTAATTCTCGTCGTAAATTCGCTTTAATCATTGCAAATGCAAATTATTCCTTGTCGAACTCTTTGCCGAATACAGTTAATAATGCCAAAGCCATGTCAACGCTTTTGAAACGGATTGGATTTTAAATTTATGATGATGAAGCTAAATTAAATTTGACTTTCGATGAGATCCGTCGCATTGTAACGGATTTTACGCGTCGAATAAAACGAAATGATATGACTCTATTCTATTTTGCTGGTCATGGAAATCAATGGGAGGTAACAAGCGAGAAAAATCTTCAGAACAAGTTTTTAAAATTTCTCCTTCTATAGGATCAAATCTACCTTATTCCAATTGATGACTTTAAAGAAAATGTTTCAGAACGCTCAACAACAATTCAATCGCCACTAAATGGTTCTGATCTATCAAAATACGCAATAAATGTACAAAATATTCTCAATGAAATCGATGATTGTCATCCGTTTGTAAACTTGATTTTCTTAGATTGTTGTCGAACTCACCCTTTACCTCAAAGCAGCGGATACAGAGGAAAAGCAAGTAATCATTTATATGAATTTAAACCAATACCTGTCACAGTTGGTTCATTAATTGCATTCGCTTGTGCACCTGGAACAACAGCCGATGAAGGAAAAAATGGAAATAAATATGGTTTATTTACAAAACATCTTCTGAACCATCTCGATACACCAAATGAAGATATTGAAAGACTTTTACGTCGTGTTCGCAATGATGTCATGAATGAGTCAAATGATCAACAAATTCCACATGTTACTTCAGTTCTAAGACATGATTTCGTTTGTTTATTTGAGCGAAAACAGGGTAAAAATCTTTTCTAATTTCTAATACAATTCAACAATATAGACAAAAGATATTTTGGTCATACATATTTCATTGCGTTTCGTAGAAGTTTTACGAGAAGAAAAGAATTTTCTAAACACTTCTAATAAAAGATTCAGCGAGTTGATTTTTCTTTTCGTCGAATGTTCACTTGTCATGAATATTTTTCTTTTTTTCTCAAAGAGAGTAAATTGAACAAATGGAAACAACACGGTAAAACTGTCGCTGGTGGAAATGGACAAGGACGACAACTAAATCAACTGTGTTGTCCTCATGGAATTTTTATCGATTGCAATCAAAATCTTTTTATCGCTGATTGGTGGAATAATCGAATTGTTCAATGGAAAGTCGAGGAAAGCCGAGGAAAGATTGTTGTGGATGGACATGAACAACGAGATGGATTGGACCAATTGAATCAACCAACAGATGTGATGATGGATGAACGAAATCATTCATTGATCATTGCTGATGGAGGAAACAGACGAGTGATTCGATGGTGGAATGATGATCAAGTAGAAATTCTCATTGACAATATCTCCTGTTATGGTTTAGCAATGGATAAAGACGGATATCTTTATATTTCTGATTGGGAGAAGAATGAAGTGAGAAAATGGAAAATCGGAGATAGAGAAGGTAAATTAGTGGCTGGTGGTCACGACAAAGGAAATCGAACCGATCAGTTGGAGGATCCTACGTATATATTTGTTGACGATGAACAATCGATTTATATATCAGACTATCACAATCATCGTGTGATAAAATGGAGGAAAGATGCGAAGGAAGGAACTGTTGTTGCTGGTGGAAATGGAAAGGGAAAGAATCTAAATCAATTGAATTGTCCTACAGGAATAATTGTCGATAAGTTTGGTCGCATTTATGTAGTGGATTGTGATAATTACCGAATAATCCGTTGGTGTGATGGAAAAAAAGAAGGTGAAGTGATTGTTGGTGGAAATGGTCGCGGAAAAGAATCAAATCAAATGAACTGTTCCTCTAGTTTATCATATGATATTGAAGGAAATCTTTATGTTGCCAATAGTGATAATCATCGAGTTCAAAGGTTTAATTTAATTTGCAACTAAAAAGAGATTATTCTATTGATAGTGAGAAATGTTTGTCCGAAAGCCTGTATAGTAATCAGCAGTTCACTCAAACGATCTGATTCAACAAGGAAAGAAGTTTCGAATGTACAGAGTTTTGTGTTTGTTTCATTTTCTTCGGAGAAAACAAAAAATCTTCTCACAAAAACCGTTATGTTTGTGAAGCATGTGTAGCATAATTTCTGACAGTTTGACAAGATTTAATGTGACAAATTTTGCAGAAAGAATTTAGACGACTTCTTGCAGTTGAGTTGAGCGAAATAGCTTCTCTACTTGTTTCCATTGGAAAGGACGCTCCTTAGAAGAAAACTCATGTACTATACGTTACCCATAATCCTGTTTTCAATAAAATAGTTTCAATTCACTCTACACACACATCACAATCAATTGCAGATGTCAGATAATTCAAACAATCGTCAACAACAGCTATAAAACGTATTCAAATCAGATGAGGAGTACAACGATTGTTGCCATCTGTCAGAAATCATGACTCTTGTAAAGCTTGAGCGTATAAGCGAATAGGTCAACAGAGATGATAAAGGTTCACTATCTATTCATCGTCGATGATTGAGAAGCCATCATTCAAGGTGAGTCAAGCGACAGTCGGAACACACTTCATGGATTGATCCGAACATGTTAATCATGAGCAAACCATTATGGACAATGTCTTCGATGAAAACAACGTCCACTGTAAACGAAAGACGATATGAAGTGTTTCCAATGATTCGCATTCCTATATCTCTTGTCTGCTGTCAATTCTCGAAGCCGAATTCGACGCAAAATGCCTATTCAAAATGATGCTGACGTGACCGAAGCGACTGTAATGGAATCATATGATTGGCGGCAACAGATCACTATTGGTGGGTAAGTTAAGTACATGAGAAGATAGTGAAATCGATGATTGATCGCGATGACTATTTTGAGAATTGCGTTTTTTTCTGTGTTAGCACTAAACGAAAAGGTGATATCGAACAGAAAACAAATGATGATGTTTACATTTCTCTTACCGATTCATTGTGTCGTAGGCAACTGCTTGGAATACTTCCGATGACGAATGACTCTCTAGTGAATGGTACTGTTGATAAATAGTTACAAGAAGATGAAACAAAGGTAGAATGTACCAAGTGCTGTTAGTATTCTAGATTGCCAACTATGTGAACAAGTGTGATGGAAATCTTTGCCGATCAGCAGTCAATAGTTCTCGTTCACGTTCGAATAAAACCATTTCAATATCACGAAGTGAACATCAAATTGTAATGAACATGCTTGGTTAAAGAAAAACCGTTGGCTGCCATTCGGCCGAAAGCATTAAGACCGAGTGGACTAATGTCGAAAGGAAAAATATCGAATGAGAGAAATGTCGGAAATTTCATTGAAAGAGGTATTTTTTATTTGCTGATTATTAACATCACATAACAGCTTGTATATAGACAGATGAATCATTCTCTCTTTTGTACGTGCAAAGGATACACACACATTCCTCAGCTCTTCGCTCCTAGCTCTTCTACTCAAATATGTCATAAATATCAGCAATAAAACTCTTTCAACCTATTAACCAACCATTCCTTCCACCTGCGCAAATGAGCGCTGGAACGCAAATTCTTTACGAACCTCAATCAGGCAAATATTACTCGTTACTCGGTAACAACTTTCTCACCGTTGGCATTAATTTTAATGACCAGGACATATATTATTATAAAAATCATTCAAATGTAAATCATGAGATGAACCCAAAACCATCGAAGCGGAGCTTATGAGCAATTTAGATCACACGGCAGCGAAAAGTTAACATAAACACAAGCAAGATACAATCGTCGACCAAGCACGTGGCAAACAAATACGGATCAATTCGTCTCTAAGCGAATACTACGAAAATTTATTGAAACAACCAGCAATAGATAACTCGAACAATCATGATAATAAAATAGTAACCGAATACGAAGGAATTAGCAATAACTGACAGTAAGGTAAAACCGACCACAGTATTTGAAATCAAAAAGATAATCAAAGAACTAAAACCAAAGAAATCATCAGGGAATGACGATATCTCTAACTTCATGATAAAGAAACTTCCGCCAGTGTGCATAGAATGCTTGTGCATATGCTTTAATGAATGGTTGGAAACTTATCAGTTTCCAGAAGATCGAACAATAGCAAGAATAATTACCTTAAATAAATTGAAACTAGGGGTTCCTAGTTGCGACCAAGCACGTCCGATATCTCTATTGGCCACTCACTAAAAAATCTACGAACGAATATTACTAGATAGAATTAGAGAATGGTCCGAATCTAATAGCATCATACTGAGCGAACAATCAGGATTTAGGAAAGGCTTCTTCCTGCAAACTAGAGTCTTGTCAATCTATCAGGAAATATATCTACCTTGAGTATCTATGTAGATTACAAGAAAGCACATGAGAGTGATTGTAAAACTGTATAGGACTCAAATGTTGGCAGAACTACTAAAAATTGTAGGAAACTGGCTCATATCCAAGAAAGCGTACAACTGCTACGGGATAACAAAATCAAAAACTTTCTCTACGCACATTGGGCTACCTCAAGGTAGTACGCTTGGTCCATATATCCTCATAATCTTCCATGCCGACATAATAAAATGTGTAGGAATGTATACCACCCATATTTTCGCTGAAGATCTTAGCACGTTAATTAGCCCACCTATACAAAAGAATTACCAATATATGATCAGTTTTATTAATATAGCAGATTCCAGAATCAGTCAAAATTTGTTCGGCTATTCAGTGAGATGGAAACCACCATTAAATATATCGAAGACGATAGTACAAGCTTTCCACTCGCAAGTCAAAGTACCGACGATAGAAATAAACATGAATTAAACAAAACTTGAGGCAGTAAAGTTCCTCAAATATCTAGGTTTGAAACGGACTGACAAAATGTCTCTGAGAATAACCGTTGACTCATGCATGGGAAATATACAAAAATCATATAGGAAACTTAACTGGCTCAGCAAGAACCAGAGCATAATCACGAAAACCCTGCGAACATGCTTCTTCTCGTATTCGTTCCCCTTTCTAGCATGGTTATTCCAAATATACCCTCTACTCCCTATTACGCAACGTGAAAAAAGAAAAAGAAAATATCGTGTAGGCCTTCGATTAGTACATGGATGTGCATTCATACCGGCAGAGGATATTTATAAATTCACAAAAGAAAAACCCATCGAACTATACGTCAGTAGATATCTTCAAAAGAGGTTGGCCAAAGCACATAACACAGACCTAACTGGTTTCCCTTTCTACGAAGACATCTTTACCTGGAAACCGATCATGGAAAACTACACAGGAGATAAGAAAAATCAGAATAGTCTTGAAGTAGAACAACTGCACAGACTATCAAGAATTAAGAAATTAAAGGAAAGACATGAATCCTATCGAATAACATGGATTACATTCATTGAGCAATACAACGAACGGAGAAGAAGAGAATAGGAAACAAGATGAATCACCTTCGAGTTAAACAAGAGAAACGGATAATTGATGGAGAAAGAAGGGAGAGAACTGAAAGAATGGAATAGATACGTGAGTACATCCTCAAAAATACTCATATCTCTCGAACCATGTTAATAAATAGGAGATGAAAGGAGAAGTCAGTCATTCTTGAAAAAATAGTACACCATCGTCAGTATTGTACAAGAATAGAACACCAACTGTATGATATGGCATAGCATACAAATCTATATCATATTCGTACACGGTAAGTTAATTACAAGTGAGTCGTTGATTTCTCTATGGTCTCAAATGTGCAAGATACATGTCGATTCGAACCACACAGAAATAAGAAAAATATTAGAAGAAGTTCAACATCCACAGTTGGAGCGACTAGGATATAGCTGTTCTATTAGCACTAACCGGATTATTCGTTATCGTTGGATGTATTCACTGTTAGTGTCGTCTGAAACCGATCCTAAAAATGGTTACTTCAACGAAAAAGGCGCCATACCACAGTTACAATCTTCACAAGAGCAATATGTTCCATATATAACACAATTCCCATCAAATCAGCGAGAACAGATTTGAGAAAGTATAATACAGCTGCATGAAAGCTGTTTCATTCATGTTTACAAAAATTCGTCTCGCTGCTTCACTCTTATGTTTTATCAATCGATGCATTATTTCTTTTTCTTTCTCTCTTCCTTGCTATTCTTTTCTACTTTTTATTACTGTTAGACCCTATTTCGCATTTACACACATCAATTCACCATTGAAATATTGTTATTTCATGCTGAATGAAAATTTCTCCCCAGCACTGGCTTGCAATGCAACTGTAATATCTACAAAAGATTGTAGCTTAAGTGACTTGTTTCCACAGAAAAACATTTTTTTTTCTTATTCACCTGCAAGTACTTCCGAACAGTACAGACTCCTTCCCTCAGCATAAATAAAAAAATGAAAAACTTTGTTCGTTCATTCTATTCAGTTTCTTGTTTGTAGATGAGAAAACGAAAGAGGGTTCTATGAAAAAAAAAGAAAGAAATATATATAAAGAAACATGATCAGTTTAGTCATAGGAAATGTCTTTTGATATTCTCCAGATAATTAATCTCTGCATAGTATTAAAAGAGAATAAAATTGATAGAAATAGATGTTTCTATTGACGTGAGTGAAAACAGGATCATTCAGTTGATCAAATTGAGAAATGATAATCTGANCTTGCATTGTTTCAGTGCATGAACTTACTCCCCACCAGATTTGATCTTCTTTGTATTGATCATAAAGATTTCCTCGAACGCCTCGCCAAACGGTTTTTTTCTGCGATGGAAGTTTATACAATGCATTTAGAAATAATCTTAAATAAAGGAACCATGGTTTGAGACCTTCACGATCGATCGAGCGAAGTCTTTCATTCAGTAATTTATATAAACTTGAGTGTTGTTTCGGCCATTGCATTGTATATAAATGAATAGCAGCTGATTCATCTTCAGTTAAGTTATCTTTTGGTTTTCGACTATTTCTTCGTGCCGTATGAATCATTGCATCAAGATTATAAAGTAAATTGTGAACTGGTTCCAGCGCTTCTTCAATGGAAACTATATCGTACTCTTCATATCCTTTGAGAGGTATAAGAGTTTGTTCAGGCTCATCGGCAACGTCGGTAAAACGTTCAGGAACAACTGCTTCCTCCATTACAAAACAAATATTCGCAATGCTTCGATGATTTTATTAATATAAGGAGAAAAACGGAAAATGATGCTCGCGCCCTGTCTGGTCGATACGTAATGTATGTTATACAAAAGCACGTGTTTATGAAATATTGACTAAAGACAGAAATTATACACGAGAAAGTGCAAAATTGAGTTTTCATTGTAAACGAATGAAAACATGCAGTTTTCTCTGTAGTGCAACTATGGATATGTGAGCAGATGACCCATTCAAATTCGAATGGAAATTTGAAAAGTAGATCATTTCCATATGAGTTATTCTCTCATATATGCCTGATGAAGTCTCCATAGATTCACGTATTTCATCGGTGTTTTCATGTAATGAAAAGTAACTGCTCGTCCAAATCCATTTGGGTGATCTTGTAAACCTAATGGCGTAGAATAGAATTCTGGATTTTGCGAATTAAATTCTTTTCGGTCGATTAATTCAACTTGAACTTTTCTCCTGATACAATCTGGTACAAACTGATCACTATCCCAAAGTTCATCATGTGGTCGACATTTCTTAACGAAAGCTGGTAATTGAACAAATAATGCCCGAGAAATTAAATAACCACCACCACCACAAAATCCAACTTTACAAGTATGTTGACCGATCATTACCGGTCTTTGTGAATCATATTCTGCAGCTAATAAATTCAAATTAGGTGGCGAAATGAATGTATCATCATCCATAACCATAATCCATTCAATTTCATTATTATAATCCCCTTCACGGAGTTTGTTGACGATCATATCTAAACCTTGTGCTACTTTCTGCATACTTCCTTTACGATCCACCGGTCGAGGTGTGTTTGGTTCGACAACATCATAAACTGGCAATCGACTATCCGATGGTGTTTCTCCAACGAAAAACAATCGCGATGGATGAAGCGTAACACCGAATGTACACATCATTATATCACAACGAGTTCGTAGATTCTTCTCGCCTGTTTGTACCATGTAAACAATATTACCTTTGGGTTTACTTGCAGGAAAATATTTTCCATCTTTCCATTGTTGATAATCGAGATCAGTCCAACAATTAGAAAGATCAAGTTGATAGCGAGTAGAAGCATTGAAAATGAGTTCCGATCTAATGATTTGAGCTTTACTTTTTGGAGTATCAGAAGTCGTCACTGATGGTGATCGAGTCGTAGTTAATTGAAGTTTTTCACGAAAACAAATCACGAAAAACAAAATATATGCAAAAATCAAATATATCAACAAGTGTCGATATCGACGCAGACGCATTGAAAAGCAAAGAAAAACCTAAACAGAAAAAAGAGCTGTAATATCTTTATTGGCGCATGTCGGTCACACGTCATGGAAGACACGTATGTCATCTTCCTTACATTGTATACCATGCGTACATCGAATACATGTCATTTGACTTTTTCGTTCAACTGAGAACGAAATTACAGAATCTTGTTTCCTACCTTTAATAGTCAGACGATTTTTATTGTTGATTTTTGCTTTGATGAATGCCATAGTGTTAAACGTACTATCACATTTTTTTATGGGTTTCGTTTGAAATGATGAACGTCGTGATAAAAAACACGTATGTGCTTTTCGGTTTCACTTCATTGATTAAAACGAAAGACATTACCATGTATACACATACGATCAAGGTTTCATATCTAATTTGGTAGCTGAAAGAATTTTCTTTTCACTCCTATAAAACGAGTTGTTCTTTTTGAAAATAATTTCCTTTTCGATATCAAATGACATTTTTTCAAGTTTCACCAAGAGAAAACGATTGTTTCAGTCAACAAGACATTTATTAGAACATGCTTTTATTCGATAATCATTCGTTGATCATTGACAATCGATCATGGTTTCTACCTATGGATATTGTAATGATATCATTTACTTCTTTATTTGTTGGACTTGCTGTTATTATTTTTTTGATTATTATTACATTCGATAAGATATGTCACACGATTCCAATGATGTTAGTCGTAAATTGATGTTTAGTGGAATTGATCTTTGGGATTGTTATGTTAATTTCAGCGGCTTTTACCTTTCAAAATCATGTCAAACATGTTTCCTATTCTGTGAGGATTTGTTACTTATGTCGCGACATCTCTACAAAATTGGTCTTATTTCCTTCAAGTCATGTATTGATATATCACAATCGTTCATCCGCATTCGACCATATGGAAATCGGGATGTGCTCAACTTTATCTCGTTATTTTCATCTGGATCTTCGATTTTCATTTCTCTCGACATACAATACTCTCGTGATCTATTTCATACCAATTGTATCAACTTTTTTAGTCTATTTCACTTTACTTCAATATGTTCAACATATAAGTAGGTTACCTATTCCAGTCTCTCGAATAATACACGTCCGATGTGAAATGAAAACTGTTCGTCATATTGTCTTTCTTGTTATCTGTGTGGCAGTCGTTGGTTTTTCCCTATGCGTTCTTTGTTTTTTGTGCATCTTTTCATCATCTTTCTAAGTATCACTTTCGAATTGTTTATACATTTCTCGATGTTTTATTGCCATTCGTAATGATAATGATGTTTGAGTTTACAGAACCGTTGAAAATATCATTAATTCGATCGAATTCTTTGAATCCACTTGTCTAAATAAACTCTCATATGACATCGATGATCTTTTCGCTCAATAAAGAAATCTTTATTTTCTACATTCGTTCGACAGGATACTTTATGGGTATGTGATGAAACGCGTCTGACAGAATGAGTTGTTTTCAAGTGTGATATTTGCTTCAGTGCTCTTTTTAGTTCAAAAGTACGTGTGGGATTGTCAAACATATGCGTCTATCATTACAAAAAAAAACTTTCAGTTTTCGCATAAGTGGTATTGATATGAACAATCACAGTTTTGTACAAATGTGCAGAATCATATTGATTAGTCAATATTTTCGATGAGTAATCCTAAAACAGACGAGAATATATAACGAGAGAGAAGGAGAAGAAAAAAAAAACAAAATAAAGTCAGTTTAGATTAGTATCATGGCTGTTGCTTTACTAAATTCAAAGTATTCTTTGATTTGGTCGGATTCAACGGTGTTGAAAAATGTTGAATTACGACAGCAACTTGAAAAACTCAGTCAGAACGTTCGTGTATTTGAAGATGAACAACAATGTGCACATTTTATCCAATCAAAATCGAAATCTGATCGACTCATCTTAATTACCAATGGGAGATTAGGAGAGAATTTCATTCCGAAAATCCATTTTTTGCAACAAATTCTTTCCATTTATGTTTATTGTCGTCATCAACAAATACATCAACAATGGGCGAAACGATTCACTAAAATAAAAGGAGTTGTCGTCGATTTTACTGATCTTCTTCATCGCATTCGAATCGATCATGTCGAATTCGAATGATCGAAATGAATTCATTGAGGAGTGTAAAAAACAACACAAAGACAACTATTCGGATTTAAGTCTCATCGATGAATTTCACCGAGAATATTCTTCTGAAAGTGCACTGTAGTGGTATACAAGAGACTCGTTTATCTACAGAATGTTGAATAAAGCACTTCGAATACAGCACGTTCATTTACTTTATCTTTTTCGTTTTTTTGATTATTGATATGAAGAGACAAATTGAAAAACATCAATGTCAACTCCCGATCCGTGTTTACCGTTCACAATTGATGTGAAAAGATGAAATTGAAATGTTAGACAAGTCTTTAGGAGGATATGTGACGATCAATTCGTTCTTTTCAACTTCGTTCGATTATAATCGTGCTCGGTCGTTTGTTATGAATGAAGTACGAACGAATGAGATGCAACGCGTTCTCTTCGAAATTGATGCTGATCCTCAACTGAAAAATATCCAACCATTCGCTGATATTAGTTCAATCAGTTATTATTCAGAAGAAAGAGAAGTCTTATTTATGATTGGCTCAATTTTTCGTTTNTATGTGACGATCAATTCGTTCTTTTCAACTTCGTTCGATTATAATCGTGCTCGGTCGTTTGTTATGAATGAAGTACGAACGAATGAGATGCAACGCGTTCTCTTCGAAATTGATGCTGATCCTCAACTGAAAAATATCCAACCATTCGCTGATATTAGTTCAATCAGTTATTATTCAGAAGAAAGAGAAGTCTTATTTATGATTGGCTCAATTTTTCGTTTGGTTGATATTGAACAAAACGACGGAGAGCGCTTTTGGATTGTTCGAATAAGATTATCGTCATTGAATGATTATCATTTGGAAGGTCTTCTTCAACGTACGAACAACAAAAGAAAGAATTTAGTAGATTTTGCAACTATATTGAATAATATGGATAAATTAGATGATGCTGAAAGATACTATCAGCAATCTTTCAATGAAGATTGTCAAGATGAGAAGGATTTGTGCGCATGTTGTTGTGGTTTAGGAAGTTCAGCAAAGCAAAAAGGTGATTATGATTTAAGTTTGAAATATTACCTGAAATCATTTGAAATTAAAATGAAAAAGTTCAAATTAAATGAGAAAAGTATTGCTAAAAAATGAAGAAAGATTATGTGAATGCATTAGACTCATATAAACAAGCGTTACAAATCTTTCAACGAGTGAATGTTGAAGATCAATCGTCGATTGCCATGTGTTTGAATAATATTGGATTTATTTCTGATAAACAACAAAAGTATTCTCAAGCATTGAGTATTTGGGAAAAACGTCTCTCTATTGATTATAATCATGTTGGAAGTGTGCATACGAATATTGAATTAACTTATCGGCGTCTATGTCAATACGATTTAGCTTTTTGTCACACTTGAATTTATCCTTGACAATTCATAGCAAATCTCGTCCGTCGCAACATCCATCCATTGCATCAACGTTAACAAATATTGGATTGGTGTATGACGATCAATCTGATCTTAAACAAGCTTTGAGTTATTATGAAAAAGCATTGATTATCTATCGACAATCTCTTTCGTCAACACATCCTTATGTAACAGATGTGAAGAAAAGTATCCGTCGAGTTTTTAAAAAAATGAATTAATCTGTAATGCTTGCACTTTTGAGAAGTGTTATGATAAAAAAGATATACATGGTACTTCGTTTCGTTCATACGGATATAACTCTACAAAACATATAAAGAAGGAGGTTAGAAATAAGGTTAAATACAATTACTATACATCGAGCATCTTCGACACGGATTCACTTAGATATTCGTTCTAACTCGCATGATGTTGGTTTTAACCATGATAGCTTCACATGTGTATGCTCAAAACGGATCATTCATAAAGGACATCTATCGCGTGATCAGGATGTTGGAGAGAAAACATGATGTGCAACCGAGAAATGATTACCGGAAATAATAATTATCTCTTTCTATGGTTGCTTCTTTCTTTTTCGTTAGGATCCTAATAAGAGTGTGACTAGATTACAGTTATACCACCAAATTTCATATTTCTTTCAAGTATATAAGAATCATCATACGAATCAACTAGCGGTGAATTAAGGCCTTGTTTCGAACGATATTCAATATCTAATGATTGACTAGTAATGAATTGTAGTGATTTTGAATTATGCTTCCATTTGACTCTATCTTGATAATTGAAAACGCAAATCCCTTCTCATGCCTACTCCGATAATGTAAATTGATCAATACTTTCCGGTCAATTTCGATGCAACAAAATATCTTCAACAAGAGATCGAATCTTTTGAAATGAAAATCTACGAACGTTATATTATGAAAAATTCGCAAAATATTATGCTCAAAACGACAATAACAATGTAAGATTTCTTCCGGAGTTGATTTTATTGATTTAGAATGTCTTTATTTTAAATTTCCAGACACTTACCAGCACCATAAATATGTAACTAAATTGAACCATTTTCATTTTGAGACCAGGAAGTTGTAAAACTGACTCCATATCGTTTTGCAAGACACTGACTTCAAGATGTTGAACACGAGGGAGCAACACAACAAGACATTGAATCTTGTTAAATGTGTATTTGTCGAGACATTAACTAACATTCCTAATACAATTATCTTGGAAATCAACTGAAAATTTTCCTTTTCCTCCAAGGTGGCTTGAAATATTAATGTTATGGAGATTCAACACAACATCTAAGATTTCGATTAAAATTCAATATTGGAAGATTAAGAAGTCGCATTACTGAAGTTTGTAATTGTTCTGAAGGTAAAATACGATTAACAGTCACTGAAATTGAGTCACAAGACACCTTCGAAAGTTCATCTTTGAGAGTCAGTTTTGTAGCATTTGGAAAAGATTTCATACATTGATTCATGACCATTTCATCTCTAATTTGAATATGTTTAACTGACTGTGTAGAACTGTCGTATTCACATTATTTGACTTCGAACAAGTCAAGAAATCGATTTGATTGAAGTGAAGATTTTTCATCAGAACTTACTTGTATGGACTTGTTGTATAGGCAACTGCTTGACTATGAAATCGTTTGTAATATAAGCCAATCTCGAAAAACCATTGTATCTCAGTTGAAAATGGATTGCTAAACGAAAGAGTGTCATTTTGAATAGACGGCATAAAAACGAGTGCTGCATCTGTGGAAATTAGAAGTACTTGTAAACTTGGAAGATAGTTGGTTATACAATTCTCTGAGTTGATAGACAGATGTGTAAGATACCTTGACATCGATAAAGATAAAGCATATGGAGTCGCCTCACATTGGTATGAGGAATGGATCTATGAACGAGGGAGTTGAGGTACATAAGAGAAAATGCATTTAACTGGTGGAAGTATATCTCATGATCGATAGTCAAATGTTCGATCGCACTGAATACAGTAGTTGCTAGTGGTAATATTTTCTTGGAAAAACGCTATCCAAAAGATACTTTACAAGATTTCAATGAAGATATTCGAAATACTTGATTGATATACGTGAAATATTTCGATCGTCGATGAAAATCTATTTTGCGTGTGTTTGGTTGAGTTGTGGTCCGAAGACAATGATGGAAAGTTGTAGAAGACATAAGACTGCTAATTTTACAAAAGCTTCTATCGATATCAAAAGAATCGAGGCGCTCCAATAGGTGGTACACAACTTCATGGCAAAGATCTTCAAAGTGTGTCTCATATCTATTCGAAAAATCAAATATGCACTAGAAACTTATGTGTAGTCTTTTTTTTCTTCGATTTTCATTGGCACCGTCAGATTGTTGGCGTTTGATTTGTTCGATTTCAAAATAAGAGAGAATTATGTTTATTTATCTTCATATACCATATCTTTTGTTGTCCCTTATCGAATAAGCAGGATAAAGCGAAAACGAAAATGAAAAGTCTATGTGTTCTACTCTTCGCGATGACTCACGCGATTAGGCGAAGAAATGTGAATGTGTATCATGACTTCAGAGCGAAATCACAGTTACATCGAATAAAGTAAACAATCATATGTATAACCCGATCCTGTTTTCAATAAAACAATATTGATTCACTCCACACGTACATCACAATCAATTGCGAATGTCAAGTGATTCAAACAATCGTCAACAACAGCTGTCAAACGTATTCAATTCAGATGAGGAGTACAACGATTGTTGCCATCTGTCAGAAATCATGACTCTTGTAAAGCTTGAGCGTATAAGCGAATAGGTCAACAGAGATGATAAAGGTTCACTATCTATTCATCGTCGAT